TCCTCCTCTTGGGGCAATGGCTCTGGCCTGCATGCAGATGGACAACACTTGGCACTGGCCCCCAACATTGAGCTGTCCCAAGTTTTTTTCCTTATACACCCATCCACTGCCAGCACACTGCTTCGTGCCTTCCCACTCACCTAAGGCTCTGAGCCGGGAAGGGCAGCGTGCCCTCCTCAGGGTCCTTCAATCCCAGATCCATTGGGGCCTCCTCACTGGGTTCATCCTTGGGGAGGGGAGAGAGGAATCAGGACCAAACTCATGCCCCTTCTGCAGCGCCCCCTTTGTGAAACAGGTCCCCCACTCACCTTCCAAAATTCTCCATCCTCAAAGCCTTCTCCGTGGGCAAAGCCTGTCCAGGTGAGCTAGGAGGGGGCAGCAGCAGTGAGTGGGCGGCTCATCTTGCTCCAGCAGCACCACCCCTGCACCCCAAAATACAACAGGTCTGTGAGCCTCACCTGGGACTCCTCTCGGGGGCTGCTCCCCTGGGAGGGGGAGGCCCGGCCAGGGGGTTCCCACTGGGTGGTCCCCGTCGGGATGTGCCAGTAGTAGGTCCCTGAGGTGTCCTGAACTCTCATCCATCCAGCCGGCAGGTCGGAATCCGTCTCGAAGGCGTTGGGGTTCCAGAAGGAATCTGCGAGGTGGGGGCTTGCTGAGAGTCTGCCCACCCCACAAGCAGGCAGCGGTGCTTATGCCCAGGCCCCTCCCTAAGACCCCATGGTGGGCCAGAAGGGGTGGGGGGAGGGCTCCAGTACAACATGGTTCCTGCTTCCTCCTAGAGCCTGCAGTCTGGAGTCACCACAGGGGGGACCCCAGCAGGAAGCACGGCTCAGGTCTCCTCCTGGGCCCTGCTCCTGGCTAATGAGGCCATATTAGGGGAAGGAGGAGAGCAGAGAGAAGGGAGGGAGCTTAGGTGACCTCCTGTCATACAGATCCCTATCTCAGGTGCACATGCTTAGCAGCTCCTGCACACACATGTGCACACAGACACACGAGCCCTACTCCACACCTGTGCAGCCACCACAAACACAAGGGTATGTACGCACAGAAAATGGGCAAACACACACACCAACTCTAGCCATATACTAATGCAGACACCATGTACGGAGGTGTGCACACACATAGGTAGGTATATATATATAAACCAACCCGGCCACGCATAGGTATAGAGAACACACCCACAATGACCCTCAACACATGTGCAGGTACCACATTCTGAATGCACTTCAGACATACAACATATGTCACCCTCTGCTATGTGTATGCAGACACTGCAGACCTCGCACCCGGACCCTTACAGATGCAGGCAAACATTTTGTGCACATGCTCACACACCACGCACCTGTGACATACCGGTACATTCTCCCCCCACTCCCCATCCCTGCTGACATCACCACTCCAACCCTGTGGCCCAGCTCATGCTTCCTCCGCCTCTGCCCTCCCTGCCAGCCCCACCCCACATCGCGCCCAGCCCCCTGCCCTCCCTCACCTGGGCTGCTGTCCTGCAGGATGATGGCCAGGAAAAAGTCCTGGGAGAACATGGCGCTCGCTCCCAGCCCCTCCTGACTGCACCCTCCCTCCTCACAGCCCCTCCAGCCCAGCCAGCTGGGCTCACAGCCTGGTGCTGGGCTGCAGAGAAAAGCTCATCCCGCCCCCTTCTCACCCGGGCAGAGTGCTTGCCAGGAAAGATCCTCCTCCGCCTGGAGCTCACTAGGGAGGGGCTGGGACCACCAGGGGAGGGGACCTCTTGGGGTGAGAAGGGAGGGTGCTCAGGGGACCCCAGCCCTTTTTCTCACATCTTTTCTTTCCAATCCTGGCTCCCCTCCCCCAATCCCAAGTCTCTATCCCACCCCATCGCACCCCACCCCACAGTGACCACATCAGCGCCACAGTCAGGCCCCGTCTTAGGGACACCAGGAGGCTCAGCCCCTTGGGAATACCCCAGCCCCCTGGGGCCCTGCAAGCCTGGAGCTCAGCACAATCAGGGTGTGGCTTCAAGGCTCCCAGGGATGCCTCCCCTCCCCAGAGCCTGCCCAACAGTTTGAGTCTGAGAGCGGGCCTTGAGGGCATGGGCTCCAGTAAGCTTGAGGCTGGGCTTGGGGCTTCCCAGTACCAACCCCCCTCACCTGCCAGGGCCCAGCTAGGCTGCAGCGTCTCCTCGGCAACCGCAGCACCAGCACCGGCTGGGAGCGCCCAGTCTGCTGACGTGCTTCGCGTTACCAGGGAGACCAGGAATCCTGACTGGTCCAAGAGGCAGCACTGAGGGACAGGCAGTCAGTCCCCAGACCCGGGCTGCTGAGCAACCAGGCCCAGGGGGCTGGGGGTGGGCGTGGTTACACCACCGGTGGCTGCACGCCTGAGGTGAGAGTTCTTTGGGCAGGTGCCTCACCACCCTGACCTTCCAACTGAGGTGGGCCCGGAGAGGAGGGGCTCTTGCTGCCCATCCAGCCTTCCAGGCAGCCAAAACCACCTCTTCCCCCGCCCCCCCCCCAGCCCCACCTCACCCATCCCCACCCTCAGGCCCTAGGGAATTAAAATGCCTGCTCTTCCAGAGACCTCCCACCGCCTTCTGAGCTCAAAGGCCAAACCTTCCAAGAACATCAGCACAAAGGGCAGCCATGCCCTCCACAGCCACACACGTCTTCACGGAAAGTCATACACCTCTCGAATTGGGGGGTGAATTCTCCATCTTCTGACTGAGCCACACACACCAATCCATCGGCCGTCCCTGTCAGCCTGTACCTTCCTGCTTCAGAGAGCTTCTTCCTTCCGATCTGACCTGGAGGGGCCGCTCTCCTGCCCTGACCATCTGGGAGGCCCTGCTGGAGCCTGGCACATCTCCTCCAACCGCTCCCTACCTCCCAATCACCACCATCACCCAGACTACTCATATTTCCTACCTGGATCATTGCAGCAGCGTCAGTGGCCTCCCTCTAGTCTAGTCTCTACCCGTCTGGGCTGCACACCACAGCCCGAATGACTGTTCTGAAATCTCAGCTGATGAAATTACTCTTTATTGTCCTCTCCTCGCCCTCAAGATGGACTCCAAATCCTACCCCCTCCCCCTAAGGTTTGTGTGCTGTCAGGAGCCCCTAACCACTGCCTCTCAGCCTTATCTCTGACCACCCCTAACCCCCTCCTCTCTCTCTCTCTCCCCCTGCTTGGGGCATGCCCCCCATATTCTCCAGCCCAGCCTCCCTCCCTCCCATCCTCACCTGGCTATTACCAACTCCTCCCTCAGGCATCAGTGTAAAGGTCACTTCTTAAAACGAACCCACCCCACCCCACCCCTGCATCCCAAACCCACACACAGGCGGGGTAGATGCCTCTCCTGCACTGCCCCATCCCAGAGCACCATGCTGATTCTGACCTTGTACTTCTGTCTCCCCACTAGACTGGGAGTGTGTGAGGGCAGGAACCCCTGTCCCTTGGAGTCTGCATTTCCAGCCTTCAGGACAAGGCCTGGCACAGAGTATGCACCCCACGCAGGTAGCTGAGTGCATTCATTCATTCAGCATTCATTCGTTCACTTATGCAGTCAATCAACAACTTTGTGGAGATACTAAAGTGGGAAGGAGAAATAATTTTTGCTTAATTCTAGCCCATTCCTACAGGAGTCTAGAACTGCTCTGTGGCTTTCAGGCTTATAGCAACACAATCACAAAACATTAGGCCCTTTCCTGGGCGGGCCCCACATGGCTACCCTCAATTTCCACAGTCTCCACCAGAGTGTGATCCTTGACCTTCCTCTTGCCACGCCAATGCCCTTGCTAAGGTCACTGCCCATGCCTGCATACCCTTCCCAGGTCTCCAGCAGTTCTATCCTCCTACTCCCAGAAGGTTCTTAGGTGTGGCTACCACAGTAACCATCCCAGGAGCCCTGAGCAACCAAGCCCTCTTCATTATTTGGCCTGACTCCCATCCTTGGGGCAGAAGTTGCAAAACAGCAACCTGCGGACGGGTGCAAGCCTCAGAGAGATTTTGTGTGGCCTGCAAGGTGTTTAAAAAACAGAATTGACTGTTAACATTTAGAAATTGAGATAGTTCACATCAATATCTAGTTTTCAGTTTCCCTGGAAAAGTTACATGAAATGGCTCCATTGAGACTACATTTTCCCAAACCCTACCCTACAAACAACGAGCTGGACTGCAAGAGCAGCTGTTCCCTTTAAAGGGGGTCCAAGCAACGACCATCGAAGGCCACAACATCACAAAGGAGAGAGGCAATCAGATGTTGCCTTTGATAAAGAAGGACTCAATGGCACCTATAAAAGGTTCTTGCAAAAACACTCTCAAATCTGAGTCTGATCCCGGCTCTAGAACTCACTACCAATTCCTGGCAAACTCAGGGGAAGGGAACATGTTCAGCACCACCACAGAGAGAGGATGTGCAAGTCCCAACCATGCAAAACCCAGGGCAAACACCACCGCGGCTTCCACTGAAAAACCGCAGGCAGAAATGAAGACAGAGAGGTGGAGGGATCACGTATAGATCAAAAGAAACTTTAAGAGACATATCAACCATCAAAAGGTCTGGACCTATATGGATATTGATTCAAACAATAGAAGTGTTTTAAAAGGCAGGGAGGACATTTATTAGGCAACTGGGAAAATGTAAACATTGACTGAATATTTGATAGTATTGAGTATTGCTAAATTTTTGTAGACATGATAATGGTATTGTGAATTTTTAAAAAGAGTTTTATCTTGCCCGGCCAGCATGGCTCAGTAGTTGAGCATGAACCTGTGAACCAGGAGGTCATGGTTTGATTCCCGGTCAGGGCACAAACCCAGGTTGCAGGCTCAATGCCCAGTGTGGGGTGTGCAGAAGGCAGCTGATCAATGATTCTCTCTCAACATTGATGTTTTTATCTCTCCCTTCCTCTCTGAAATCAATAAAAAATATATTTTAAAAATAAATAAAAGAGTTACATCTCTTAGAAATGTAAGCACTGCCCTGGCTGGTTTCACAGTGGTTAGAGCATTGGCCTAAAGATGGGTTTCCCGGTCAAGGGCTATATCTCAGTTGCTGGTTTAATCCACAGCCCAGTGCAGGAGGCAACCAATTGATGTTTCTCTTTCTCCCCCCTCCTTCCTCCCTTCTACTCTCTCTAAAAATCAATGAAAAAAATATCCTCGAGTGAGGATAAAATTTAAAACAATGGATAGGCAAACATTTATGGATGAAATGTTTACTTCAAAATAACCTAGGCTGGGGCCCAGGAGTAGGTGGGGGTACAGATGTAGCAAGACTAGGCAGGTGTTGAAAACTGTTGAAACTGGGTCCTAGGTAAGTCAGGTTTATTATTCTATTCCCTCTGCTTCTGCATATGTTTGAAAGTGTCCATAATAAGAGTTTTGAAAGGGCACAGCGTACTGCCCTTGGCTCATCGGAACCACATGCCTCCTGCAAAGGTTCCACCGTTTGGAGTCTGGGTGTGGTGCCTGCTGCCTGATGCAGGGGAGTCTTTCCTAATCTTTACCTACACCCCCATCCACCACACGCCCAGCTGTGGCTACAGCCCACTCACTCTGCCCTGTGCTCTCAGGTCTGTCTGCATCTCCACAAATGTGATATCAGCAAATGTGGAGACTCAACTTACTTCCAAGAGACACATTTAATGATCAATCCTTGGAATCTGAATATCTATTCTTCCTCTCCCCCACGCTCCCCAAAAAGTATATATTTATTCTTCCTAACTTAGTAAATATTCTATTCCAGATACAAAGGATTCAAAACAGGATCCCTGCAATGCCCAGTGTGTTGCACACAACACCTCCCCCCCCCACCCCGTTTTTACAAAGAGACCTCTGTGGAGAGGTGCTGCTGCTCCCTCCCAAGCAAGTCAAAGACTGGCCCAAGGCGCCCTGGTTCCTTGTGCTGTGTGCACTGGCGGCAGGCTAGCACAGGGCCCAGAGCTCAGGCCTGGACTCAGACCTGGTTTAGATCTCAGTTCTACTGTGATCTCAGACTCTCTGGGATTTTAGGAAAACTACTAAATCTCTCCAGGCCTCGTTTTGTCCTCTGTAACATGGGCACAAAATAGTATCAACTTCACATCACTGTGAAGGCTAAATACAATAGAGCTGAGCAAGGGCCAGTACCTGGTAAATGCCCCATAAACGGACCTGCTCTACTGTCCGTCAGGGGTGCATGACGGACGGACTGGTCAATGTGGCCAAGCAGTCTCTGAGGCCCGAATGGCTTCCTTCAGGAAAACCTGGGCGTGGCTTACTGTGGCCCGAGGACTCACCCCCAGGCTGGCCCCGGCCTCTGCCTGGAGAAGCCTGCCCTCCGCCCTCTGGCCCTCCCACATTCCCCGTGTCACCTCCACAAGGTACCTGTGTCCTCCGGGGAGCCATAGGAGGGGCTGCCCTGGGATAAGGTAGCCCAGCTTGAGTCCTCGTCACTGGCTGCACTGTTCCGCATGCCAAACAGGAGGCTGGCACTCTTGCTGTGCTCCCGGGGGCCGTCTACCAGGGCCTGGGATGCAGGGGGCACCTCCACACTCTCCAGGGGCTCGGGCAGCCCTGGGGGAGAAGACAAGTCCTCCTCCTCCTCCTCGTCCTCTTCCTCGTCCTCCTCCTCCTCTGCTTCCCCCGCTGCCTTCTCCTCTCCCTCGTCTGGCCCCTGGTCTTGGGAGCTGATGATCAGGTCGGGTCCTCGGAGCCCTCGGTTGGCCGCATTGTGGGCAGAAAGCTCCAGCTCAGAGTACAGGTGCAGCAGGCCTTTGGGGCCCAAGGGTGCCGTTTCAGGTTCCTGGCTGGCCTCCTCTGCCAGGGTCAAGGTCACGTTTCGGTTCTGATCACGGTGGGCCGTGGCAGCCCGCCGAAGCTGGTTCTGGCCCTCCTTTAGCCACTTGGCATTGGCTGGGCCCGGCTCAGGCCCACCGCCCTCCCCCATGGCACTGCGCAGGTCTTTGGGTCCCACGGCCGTGACCTGCAGCTTGGCGTTGAGCAACTGGTTGTGGGCAGCGTGCAGGGGCAGGGGTAGGCTCAGGGCGGGGCCTCCGTGGCTGTTGGCGTTAATGGCCGACTGGCTCAGTGATGATGGAACAGACATGGCCTTGGCAGATCCTGCAGGGCAGGGTGGGGGTTGGGGGGAAAGGGAAGACCATGTTTAGCCTCCAGGTCAGGATAGCAGCACCCTGCCTCTGCCCCAGGCTGTGCCTGCGGCTCCTCCTCTCCCTTACTCTCAGCAGGCCAGCCCACAGCGCCCTGTGTATGAGCTATTCTCCCACAGGGATGACTGAGCTTAACTC